CGCCGCTGCACTGTGCACTAAAGTGTGCCCGGAAGGTCAGAGCTCTGCTGCCCGAGAGTCAAGGAGAGGAGAAAAAACACCCCAAAAAACCCAAACCCGGTGTCGGTCGTTGCTCTAAATTGCTGCATCTGTCTATGCCAAACTAATCGATCCCGATTGCACCGCAGAGCCCCGCTGCGAGCGCTGCCTGGAGCCACCTGCCACGTCCCCGGGAGCAGCTCGGGAAAGCCCTGCCAGAGCCACGTTTCCATGCTCGCAGCGAGGGCTGCGGTCGGCACTCAGGATGGGCTGCTGAGCACGCGGGGCTAGTCCGGCCACGCTCCGTACCGCGCACCTCGCTGGCAGCCCTGGCCTTCTCCCGGGTCCCAGGAACGGTGTCACGCTCTGAACTCTGGTGACACAGCTCTTCCTTGAGATTGCAGCCACCCAGTTTTACACGTACTTCTTTTAAAATAGGGAGCGGGGAAAAAAAAACAGTGTTCTGGAGGTGGCACTTTGATCATTTCCAGTTTATCAGCTCAGCGCCTTGTGCGCCTGTTTTTATCGGAGATTTTAACTACCTGTAAAAGCTAAAGATGGCTGTGAGCGTCACGCCGATCCGGGACACAAAATGGCTCACGCTGGAAGTGTGTAGGGAGTTCCAGAGGGGGACTTGCTCACGGCCAGACACGGAATGTAAATTTGCACACCCATCGAAAAGCTGCCAAGTCGAAAATGGACGTGTAATCGCCTGCTTTGACTCATTGAAAGTGAGTAAATATTACATTATTTTCAAGGAGATGTGGTTGATGAAAGGAGCAGTTGTAGCCAGAGAAGCCCTGCAGCCGAACGGGAGCGAGCGCTGGCTGCCAGCAGTGGGGCGTTTTGCTGCTTTTATTGATGCCTGTCGATTTGTTTTGCTGTTTTCCTCAGGGGAAAGGGAAGGATAGGGGAAGCAAAGAGAAAATACGCCTGGCAGGGCTGAAATCCACCAGTATGGCTACAGTGACTCGTTCTTTTCCTCCAAATTATTCCCTGCCTGTGGCTGGAATAAAGGGCACTTCACGTAGAAACAGCAAAGTCACTGTAAGGATTCTTTGTTTTTAATAGCACGAACCACGTAAGCAATATGAGGATTTGTTTCCATCTCGTAACTACCAGCGGGTTGTTGGTGTCTCTGGACAGCTGATGGTGAATCTTAGAGGGGTGTTTTCCTCCCTGAATTATTTGGGTGTCTGTGAGTACCCTGCTTGCCTTTCGGTGCTTGGCGCTGCTGTGGTTATCCCAAATGTGCTTGATTAAGGGAAGGACAATGCTTAGCAGAAGCCAAGGTGCTTCTGGACATGCAAGCAGGGCTGGGGTGGAGAGGGGTTTCAGGAGGCATATCCAAGCTAGGCACTGTAAATGTATGGCTGTTGTTTCGCTGTAGCTGTAGTTTCAGTAATGAGTGTTAAATGTGTGGGTCCCGGTGCCTTCCCTTCATTTTTCATGAATTCAATAATCTTAGCCTGTAAAATACTCATCCCACAAACAGCGCAGAATTAATTCAGTAGCGTCATGAAGAAAAACCAAAAGTTGGGAAGCGGAGATCTGTCAGTGTTTGCTACAGTGTAATTTCTCTTCCTGGGCCCAGATCCCGGGAAGCGCTGCGAGTGCATGGAGCTGGCTGCTGGCAGAGACCTGCTCTGGGAGGGAGTTGTAGCTGTAGCAGCTACTGCAGGTCGCAGCACAGCCAGGCCCCGGCGGGGCAGGAAATGGGTTACAGCAGGTTCGTGTAAATCCTGCAATGTCCCAGAGCTTGAAAATGAGTCTTGTCTCAGGTCAGGGCAGGGGGTAAAGCTTTGCAGTGGTCTCGGACCCAAAATACCCACCCCATCGCCCCCAGCCATGGTTTAACTTGCAGATATTGAAATGGTTTTGTTTCTGTGTTGTTCAGATTTATTTTGAAGTTACAGTGATTACAACAGATGAGGGGATATTAATGTTAAAATGTGGAAATGTTTTCATGCGTTAAACAAGGGTGGGAGGTAGGAGCAGGGCCAGGGCTGTCAGCATCCATGGGGAGTGCTGGTCCCATGGTGTCACCTCGATGGAGGAGCAGCCCAGGCCTGTGACCACTACCCTGGAGGCAGTGAGCCCACTGGTGCTTCTGCTGTGCTGTGCCATGGTACGGGCTGGCTGCTGCCATGAGGACATGGTGCTGCCACGTGCTGGCACTGCCGTTGGAGGCTGTGTGGCCTTGTTGCAGGGATAGCAGTGCTGCTAGAACATGAGCCTGGCCTCGGAGCCTGCAGCCTGCCCCTGTGTGAGGGGCTGTGAGAGCCAGGAAAGCTTTGCTGGCGAACAGCACCCGCAGTGTTGCAGGTTTGGTTTCTCAGCGATATCCTGTCCGGCCACAGCGGCCTGACTCCATTGGCCTTGAGCTTCTCAAGGTGAGGATCCAGCCAAAAAGTGAACCAGACGTGAATCTCCTTTGCCATGGGAAGCATCACCCGGGTTTGCTGCACGTCAGCATCCCCTGCTCAGAGTTCTGATGTCCATAGTCATTGGAAGTGGCTTAAAATCTCAGTACTGGATGGGGAGGCTAGTGGTGCTGGAGCCAGGCGGCAGTGTGGGCTGGTGCCTAGGGGAGAGGAGATGAACCGGGGGCTGGCCAGGTTTCCCTGACCCTGGCAGTGCTGGAGCCAGGCAGCAGCGTGGGCTGGTGCCTGTATGAGAGGGGGTGAACCCAGGGCTGTCCAGGCTTCCCTGAACCCGACAGCACGGCTGTCCCTTCTGCTGCCATCAGCAGGCTCTTCCGCTTCCTTTCTTAATGCAGGAGCTAATGATGACCTTTGCTAGCGCTGCAAGGTCCATGGGCTATAGCTGTAGGTAGCATTACTGCGTTGCTGCAGATCCTCAGTGAAGAGGAGCCTGCTGCTGCCCCTGTGGAGTCAGCGCAGTGGCCGAGCTGGGAAAGAATCTGCTGTTTAAAAATACACTGCTGACCAGAGCTGTTTACTTGTGCTCATGCTGAAAGGTTTGCCTGTGGCTGAGCTGCTGTGTGCTGGAGAGGCTCCCGCGGGATCTGGTGATCCCCTCGCTGCTCCCCATGCACCCGTGGTGTTCCAGTGTGAGCCTGGCACCCATCCCTTGCCTGGAATGTTTTTGTGAAGTAGCAGTGGTGTAGGAGAATATCTTGAAAATGGAATATCTCCCTCCAGGGATTTCCCGCTCCAATCCCCATCACAGAGCAGCAGTTGCTCAGTTTCAGGTTTGTTTCAGTTCTGTGTCGGTTTTGCTGTGTGCTGAGCTAAACAGCACTAATCATTGTGTTACCTCATCTGCAATATCCCAAACTTCAGGTGTTGTGCAAGAACAATTTAAGGAAATGCTGCACCAGCTCTGTCTGGACCCTCTGTGGTCAGTCAGTAGTTTAGCACAGAGAAAACATGATTTTTGGTTAGGACATTCAAAAGTAATTTTTAATTTTCCTGTAATTCAATATGGATATCCTTGATCTTTACTAACATAGCAGCACACCAAGAAACTGACCTTAATTTTAAAATACTTGATTTCTTGTTAATGTGTATAATATTAGTATTAATTAAACAGCAATTCTTACATTGTCTCTTGGACATAAACCAGATATTTAGTCACTTATTTTTTTTGCTAACTAAGAATGCATTTTGGCAGGGGGTTGGAACAAGGCGGTCTTTTAAGGTCCCTTCCAGCCCAGTCTGTGGTGCTGTGATCTGTCACTCATGTATCACTTCCAAGACTTGGTGTGAGTGTGCCTGAGGAATAACTGCTGTGTGTGAGCTGACGTCAGGCAGGTGTGAGTGCTGCAGAGCTGCAGCCCCTGGAGCAGGACTTCTGAGCTGGAGATGGCCTGTCTGCTCGGCTATATTTAGAACATAAACAGGCAAAGCAGATACTCTCTGAGGGGACCCTGTGCAGTGGCAGTACCCTTCAGCTCTGGCCCTGGCCCAGGTGTCCTCTGCGGGCACAGGGACAGAGCACAGGGAGCGCACAGCCACCCGCAGGCAAACACCACTGCTCCTCCCTGCCTGGGGGAGGCAAAAATAGATGCCAGAAGTGGAACTTTCGGCTTGGGTAAAGAACATTTTTTCTTTTTTTCTTCTATTTTTTAATAACTTTATTTTCCCCCCTCCCTGTGAAATGAAAGCACAAACTCTGTGCAGGGCTAGAGCAAAGAGAGGGATATTTACTTCCGAGGCTCTCCCCGGCGCTGTGTGATGAGCAGTGGCACTGCATCCACGGTCTGGGCATTGTCACTTGTTGGGAAATACGTCCCGTGGGCACACCTGGCAGCTCCTGCTCAGCTGAGCGGGAACAAGCAGCCGCTGCTCCGCGTTAATTGGGAGCGTGGGGAGCCAAAGGCAGCCAGGCCCGTGGCTGTGACCTCCGAGGTGCTGCAGGAGGAGGTCAGGGCTGTGACAGCCACGGCGAGATGTTATCACCCTGCTGCCTAATTACTGCTAATGAAACCTGCGGGGCCGGCCTAGGGGAGTGCATGAATCAAGATGAATGTGTGTGGGATAATCTGGCCCTTAGATATTAGGAGGATAATTTTAAACCAAGAATGATTATGTAGTGTATTCAAATTGTGCGCTGGAGCGGCTGAGTCAGCTCCAGCTCTGGCTCTGCCTTGTTTAAATGCCGTAGGATTTTTTTCCTAAATTTGGATGCCTAAAAGCCTGTTAGACTGTCTACAGCAAAAATAAGCTCTTGAGTTCCTAAATCAGGAAACCAGTTTGCAACAGAAATGTGATTTTGAGCGTAATTTTGAAACATTTTCCTTCATTTTTTAAATTTTTTTTTTTCTACTTGGAAATATAAGCCTAAGTAGAAGTCGGTTTTGAAATTACATTAGCTCCGTCAGATGTTCCGATAGATGAGTCATCCGCGTTTCCTGAAAGCTGAGATAAAGATGTCTGAACAATGGGGAGATGGATGTCAAATGCAAATCTTGTGGGAAGCTGCAGATGCGAGGAGGACACCCAGTGTCACTGCCCGTCTGTGTGCCATGGCCACCACGCAGCCTCTCCTGGCCCTGTGGCTGTCAAAGGGGGAAACACTGGGGAAGGGCCACGGGAGCTCAGGCTGTCCTCTAGTGCTGCTGGATTGTGGTCCCCTTTCTGCCCATAGGGTGGGAGCTGTCATGGTCCAAAACCTGCTGGTTCGAACAGATCAGAACCTCACATGATTTCAGTGGACGTGGTGAACACCACAAGTCACGCTTCATCCCTTTAGTGATAGTGTTCACCGTGGGCACTGCAACTTCTAAATCAGTTTTTGCTCCCTTAGGTTATGCTTCTGCTAAGGTGGCTCCTTCATGCTTGAGCTGGGTGTCCCAAGGAAGTTTAAAGGCTTTTTCCTACTCTTCCTTCAGCAGCTGTAAAGTCTTGAACTTTCACATTTTTCTGCTTTTTTGAAATTCCAGTAAAAAGCTGGAGATGAGAAGTGCAAGTCTTTTCACTGATATATGAGTTTGAAGCTCTTGTGCTTAGTGTCCAAGATCTACCAGAACATGGTATTATAGTATTTTATCTTTTGATGTAGAAGTATTTATTTGTTAAAAATGAAACTCCTGAGCTCTGTAAAGTGACAGCCACTTCTTACCAAGAGGCTTTAAAAATATAAGTGCATTATTATTATGGTTGAAATTGGTGAGCATTTTATTTCCACCACCTCAGAGGTGTAATTGTTGATTATTCAAGTCTCTCTGCTTTGTCACTGCTTCAAAACATAATGATTTTTTGACTGC